ATCATTAATGACCCACACTTTGCATAATTACAATAGGACTTCAGAGTTAGACTTCATATTTCTAGTTTTAGATACAAGAATGATACAAACATACAAATAGGATGACTACACTCAGTAGATTAAAAGCTTTGTAATGATACCTTACAAGAGACCTTTTGCATGAAGCATATTCCAGTTACATTATATTCACGCTCATTAACATATTTCCATAAAACATGTGGAGTGCAATGTCACACCTATGACCACATCCCAGTCTCTTACCTAAAATAGGTTCATCATTCCATTTGAACCAACCCATCCATCTCCCATCGTTTGTCCCAAAATCTCATGGGAACAAACGAGATGCAAGTCTTCGTACCCTGGATGTCTTTCAGAAAGTCACCAAAGTTATTTCTTTCCATCATGGAATGATCTAAGGGAGACGCCATATCCAAACAAAGGCTGTGAAAATAGATCTCCAGCTACATTGACTTTTGTTATCACCATTAACAGTTAGAACCCCCGCCAGGGAACCCCACACACTCCACCAGAGCACTCTACATTGACAGCCTTCCTCAACAATGTGCCTATTATGGACATCTGCAAAGCAGCAGCCTGGGCATCAGCCCATATGTTCAAACAGCACCATGCCATAGAGCAGCATTCTCATCAGATGCTCTACTGGGACTTATGGTTTTATCATCCACCACGACTGCAACGCCGAAGACCCTCCCTTCCACTGTGGGGCACTGCTCTGTTCACCTACAGTCGATTAGACTATAAGTATTGTACTTGAATTTCAGCATATAGAGCAGTATTAAAAAAGTCCCTGTCTGTATGAAATTTTGGTTTTTACTGACTTCGCTAGTGCTTTTCATGTAACCTGTTGTAAAATTAGGCAACTATGTAGATGAGTTGGCATATCCCTGGAAGACTTCTGCGTAATCCCAGGGGTACATGTACCCCTGGTTGAGAACCACCGCCTTATAGTTCAAAGTTATTTGGGTAGGGACAGTGGATGGGATTCATAAAGGTATCTAGGTGTCCAGCTCCCCTTTCAGTGGAAGTTAGGTGTCAAAAAACCTTTGTGAATCCCAGCCAGGGTCTTCTGGCTTTGAACTGCACCAAGAACATTGGTGCTTAATAAATAATAATAATAAAGCATTAAGACCCCTTCTTGCCTATGTCTCCCTGAAGGATCTTGGCTACATCAAGGCCTTGTGATACGCAAGGAAGTAAACCAGTTATAAAAATAACCTTTCATTTCAAATGATCCCAGATGAATTACAGCCGTAACAAGCTAAACTACAAGTGTTTATTCACACGCTCAATTGAAGATGTATCAGCAACATTAAATCAAATATCAGAGGGGTAGCCGTGTTAGTCTGGATCTTAAAAGCGGCAAAGATTCCTATGGCACCTTATAGACTAACAGATGCATCCGATATACATGCATTCGGCAAAGTGGGTATTCACCCACGAAAGCTTATGCTCCAGTACATCTGTTAGTCTATAAGGTGCCACAGGACTCTTTGCCACTTTTATTAAATCAAATGTTAGCGCAGGCCAGTGAGGATTTGCACAGCTAACTGACATAACAGAAGGGATTCAGGACAGTAGAATGCAGTTGCCCAAGACGAACACCAGGTAACACTGTTATTCTGACATAAATATAATGGGATTAGAAGTGATTATTCCATCTCATCCAAAATACAGCAGCCTCCTATCACTATGCTGGGTTTTGCTTGATTACTATTAGTAATAGTTTGCTGCATCAATAAAGATACAGAAAAACAGAAGCTGTCCAGAGGCAAACACAACTGGAGGAATGGAGAGTCTTAAATATGAAGAGAAATTTTAAAAACAATTTAATATTCAAAAAGGGTCTGGACATTTGAACATTCACAGTTACACTAGATTAGAACTGGATATAATTTTTTTGAATTTTGAAATTTCAAAATTTCACTTAAAAAAAAATTGAAAAATAATATTTTTCCTTTTTTTTACCAGCTCTAATTACATAGGTTAAATATTAAAAAACAATGGGTATATAGGGATAGGAAGAAACTTTCCCAAAGGTTGGCTGTTCACAACTTGGTTTCTCTACACCATTAAAGAATCTGGTACTGGTTGCTGTCAGAGACTGGATCCTGGATTAGATGGGCCACTGCTCTGACTTGGAGAGAAGAATTCTATATGCTGAATTGTTCGCACTGCTTCCTGCAGAATCCTGGGATTCTCTGTGGAGGTCTTCTGTCCAAGCACTAAGGCACCCCCTGGCTTTCTTTGCTTCTGATATCTGACACAGAACAAAGGTGGTATGCAGAGCTTGGTGAAACTTCTTGAATTACCATTTTTTGGTAAAAAATGATAATGAAATGTTTTGACACATTTTCTAAATGAAACATTTCAATTTTTCAGTTTGAAATGACTTTGTTTTGAAAGATTCCTTATATTTTCTCTAAAAAAAATTATAAAGATTTAACAGTGGTCAAAAGCTACGTTTTATTTAGTCAAAATGAAACATTTAATAGAATCATAGAAAATGTGGAAGAGACCTCGAGAGGTCACCTAGTCCAGCCCTCGGCAATGAGGCATGAGTGAGTATCCCTGACAGGCATTTATCTAACCTGTTTTTAAAAACTGTCAGTGACAGGGATTCCACAGTCTCTTCTGGTAACCTATTCCAGTGGTTAACTATCCTTATAGTGAGAGTTTTTCCTAGTATCGAATGTACCTCTCCCCTGCTGCAGATTAAGCCCATTACTTGTCCTGCTTTTGTTGAAAATGGAGAACCGAAAAATCGTGTTTGTACCAGCTGTAGTACTATTTCTGCAGGCCATAGTATGAAATAACATAATTTTAAATGAAGGCTGATTTTCATTCCCTCCTTGAGAATAACTGCTATAGACTGCTACACGCTCCTGTGAAAAGCAGGCTGCGTCCACGCTGTAGTATGTAGCCACGTGTGGTAGTGAAAGGCTTTGGCAGTGGGGAGGTAAAGGGGAAAAGCTCCAGCAGCTCTCTGTGGCAGGGAAAGGTTTGGGAGTGGGACAAAAAAATGCTAAAAATAGCAGTGTAGCTGAAGAAGGCACTGCTTTGGCAGGTAGAGAGCTGTGTAGGGTACATACCCACAAGGTTCAAATGTGTCTTTATATGCCTAAGCCATGTCTCGCTGTCTACACTGCTGTTTATACGTATGCTGCAGGAGGTGCAGTTTATGTACTCTACACGCTGCTGCAGTGAGTGTGCCGTGTAGACATACCATTAGTTTCTAGGGCATTGACCTGAGTAGATCCGTTAAGCTTAAAATGAACTAACTGCAGTTGATCTGACATCTAACAATAAAACAATTGTTTGTTGTGTTGCAAAACTGCCTAATTGTGCTGTCTGTAGTAAATCTGTTCTTGTCTGTCTGTCTTACACTGCCATATTTCTTCAAGTACAAGCCATTATCAATAAACAGGCACACATTTATTTTGTATTTTTTTTAAATAAATAACCTTTTAAAAAAGGTTTCCCCTTTTAGACGCTTCACCTTTACCAGGCAAGCCTCATGAGGCATATAATTAAGGACCAGGTTCTGATAACCTTACTCATATTCAGTAGGACCTTGCTCAGTGAGTGGTCCCATTGAAATAAATGGTACTTCTCATGGAATATGGTGCTACTTCAACATGAGGATGGCAGAATTTGGCTGTAAGTGTATAATCAAAGCTGTGCTCACTAACCAAAGATATCCTGTACACGTTACATCTCATAGACTCATAGAATATCAGGGTTGGAAGGACCTCAGGAGGTCATCTAGTCCAATCCCCTGCTCAAAGCAGGACCAATCCCCAACTAAATCTCCAGTATTATTACTAGAAATGGGTGGGCTGCTACATCCGAACAATCCAAAATGTTTTTTATTTTAATCATAACTCCCATGTGCTTTAATTCTGCAATAACTTGGCCAAATACTCCACAGATTTTGCAGCTGAGCCAGTTCAGTTGTGGAATTTGATTTCACAACCAATGAAAACTACTTCCTTTACAGTTAATGCCTGGAAATAGGAGAAAGTTTTAAAAAAATGCAACACTAGTATGCAGTTCTGTTAAGACGCACTTGGAGATACATTTAGGGAAAAATTCAATGAAATGCATTTTTGAACGTGCCATACTCATTCAGTTGGAGTAGTTTTTACAGCAGGATCCACTGGATGTCAGTATTATACAACATTCCATATAAAAAAGCCTTTTAATTGGCCTAACCTTTCAAAACTGCATTAAACAGTTTTGCAAAATTTGTGTCAGCAATGAGAGTAAGTAGAGTAGTGGTTAGGGAACACCACCCAAGACAATTTTCATAACCCATCTGTTTTATAGTCTGTTCAGTGCACAACATGCTTTATATAACTTTGTAGTCAAAACTGTTACTTTCTGTAGAGGTCTGGTGCTAGAATGTAATTTGAGCAAACTCAGTCTTTTTTTTTTTTGAAGAATACAAGTTCTGATTTACACAGTATTTTGATTCACGTGTTTCTTTTTATGTACTGTGTATATTTTAATGTCATGTTGAAAGTATAACACTGCAAATATTTTAAACATGATTTTCACTGTCTTACAATACACAACTTATTTTTCCATAGGAAAAGCTCATATTGCTGTATGTGGACATAGGAGAACAGAATAGAATACTATAATTGCATTTACGCTGCTCAGTATATACTGTACTTAATATTGCACATTCATCCAGCAGTATACACCATCCTCCACCTGACTAGATCAGATTTTGTGACCTGCTACGCTGCCCCAGGCCCTGAAGGAGGTGTCTGAGAAATGGAAAAATTTTCATGGGAGGTGAAAATACTTAGCACGTAGCAAATTGCATTATTTGTTAACCTACAGGATGTCCCTGCAGGCAATCTAAATTGTTCCCAGCTAGTTGGGCAAATCTCCACTGAGGTAATGAACAAAATATCATGAAAATACAAACAGTAAAATTCATCCCAATTAAAACCTGCTTTCTCTTCCCCTAGGCATTTTTGCGAGCTCTTGTAGAATACACCAGTGATGCCAGAGAAAAGCGAAGGCTTCAGGAGCTGTGCAGCAAACAAGGAGCCTCTGATTACAGTAGTTTCATTAGAGACCCAAGTATCTGCTTGTTGGATTTACTCCATGCTTTTCCAACATGCAGACCTCCACTTAACCTGCTGATAGGTAAGTTGCTGATTTAAGTTCAGTTGTGTTTAATTTCTGAAAATGCAACAGAGTATACGTTTAAGAACAAAACACTATTCAGTTATTGCTTCTTTGGGAATATCACTAGCCATGGTTATCAAACTGAAATTATAATCTGGAAATGAAGACCTGCTCTTCGCTTTGTAGTGTTTAGCCTTGATTCTGCCAGTGCTTATGCACATGCTGAACATCATGCAGGTGAGTAGTCCTGTTGACTTTACGCTGCTCCTGTGCATATTGATAAGCACTGGCATAAGTATTTCCAGGATCAGGGCCTTTATTTGTAAAGCTGCTTTAAAAAAAGGCTAACATTTTCAAGGGCCCATTTTCCAACACTTAAGGTTTTTGCCTTCTCTTGTTCTTCTTTTGGTACTCTATTTTTCCCTGTATCCGATATAACTGTTAAAAACAAACCAAAAATACCTTGTATAAAAATAATTTTCACAAGAAATAATACAGTAGATTTCTTTAAACTTTCTGGTTCAAATACTCTACTAAAGTTTGCTTTGTATATTTGCTATTTGCAGATATTTATATTTGAATGAATCATAAAAGATACAACTAGTTTGCGTTCTCCTCACACAGCCCTGAATTTCCTGCACTTTGGGGCTTTCATTTATTGGAGGGCCCTGGAGCATCTGAGTATCTGAAATATTGTGTGTTGTAAGGAATTAATGCAAATGAAAGCTGCAGAGTGCATGGGAGTTTTCTGGGACATAGCAGCAGTTCTGTACATGCCACCATAATCCCTCTGCAATGATATTTCTGCCCTCCCTTTGTGGAAGGGGAGCTCAGTGGTTGTATTTCTCTTCCTCCCCACCCTTTCATGAGAGGACTCTGTGGCACTGGTTGTTGTTGGCCTCCTTAAATGGAGCCCATGTGGTATTATTATCTGGTACTCAATATTCAATATTTTTCAAATTAACAACATATAGTATTTGTCTCATGTCTAAACACTGTTCATGAGTACTGTAAATCTATGTCATTATGATAAAGATAATCCATCCTGCAACTGTTAGTCATTCAAGAAGACCTGAGGAATTTAGTGGGTGAGTGGATTGCAGGATTGTACTTAAATATAATGTTAAAAGGATAGACCGTAGCTGTAGCTATCTCCAAATTTCTCTGAGTAGAAAAGGAATGTCATTTTGAAAACAAAAGCACTTAATATTTCAGTGACCCCAGAAATCTTTGCATTTTTGTATTCAGATAAAATACTGTGGTCCACTATGTCAAAATACTGTAGTCCATATTATGGTGTATGAATCCAGCAAAAGGTGGCTCAGAGAGGTTTCAAGTGTACACGTGTAGTATGCAAGATACCAGCTGAATTTGCTGTCCTGGAAAGGAGATTCACTAGTGTGGGTGGTAGGTCACATGTCTGACTCTGTCCTGTTCCAGGTTGATGAGGAAGGGCAGACTTAAATTATGTCACGACTCTTCCATCTTTGTGCTGATGTACATGGGTGCCAAAGAAATGTGCGTGCCCCTTTTGTCTCTAGCTTATCCATAATTCTGCTGTGCGTACCCTTTATTTCCATTCCCCACCTCGCTACTCAAGTGGATTTACAGCTACTTTACCACAGTGCACGTGCTCCCAAGCCACACTTTGTACCGTCAAGGATTTCTACCACTGTTATGCTGGTGTAAGTTAATACTCTGAAGGCTGAGTTACTGCTGAATAGAACCTTTTAAGTTTTTGCATCTTTCTAAGGAAAAAATGTGCAAATACACATCTGTCTGATTATGGAGTGAGCACTAGTTAAGGCTGTAAAAGTGTTCATTTAAATTTGTGTTTTCAGGCCTGTATAGTATCTGCATAGTAAGATTGGTTTGAAAAAGTGGGATGGCAGTTTAGGATCCAGGTACAAATTTGGTAATATTTCATTGAGGGGTTCCCGAAGTACAGCCTCCTTCCAAAACACCTGTTTTTAAATTTCATGTTTCTTATAACAACTTTCTTATAACTTTTTGGCAAAGAATTAGGGGAAAATCTATGGGGCGGTGTGCATGCATAATGTATTTGACTGGACTGTCCCTGTTGTTAATGTCTTGTGCCAAGAACAAGCTGAATAACCTCATGAATAAAAATTATTCAACTTTATTAATAGTCCTATCAAGTAGTATGCCAGAATTTGCCTAAAATGCCAGCACTGAGCTCGGATTCTAGGAGGGGAGAGGAAGAAAAAGAGACAGAAACTTCCACACAGTAAACTGTGTAGTCTAAGAGAGACTGACCTGGGGAACCAAGAACTCAAATTTCACCTCTTCAGCCAACTGCTGTTAATATTTCTGTGCACGTCACAGCCATTACTATTAAGGCTCCATAACCTATGGCAGGAAACTATTGTTTCCCCAATTTTATAGATAAGATAACTGATGTCACACAGGTTTCAGAGGAACAGCCGTGTTAGTCTGTATTCGCAAAAAGAAAAGGAGTACTTGTGGCACCTTAGAGACTAACCAATTTATTTGAGCATGAGCTTTCGTGAGCTACTGATGAAGTGAGCTGTAGCTCACGAAAGCTCATGCTCAAATAAATTGGTTAGTCTCTAAGGTGCCACAAGTACTCCTTTTCTTGATGTCACACAAGGTCTCTTTAAATCAGGGGTCTCAAAGTTCCGGCCTGCAAGCCATCTGAGGCCCGAGAACCTCCCCATTGCGGCCTGCGGAGGAGAGACGCATGCAGACACGCTGCCGGCAATGTCTCCTGCAGGCACCGCCCCCCGCAGCTCCCATTGGCTGGAGGAGAGGGACAGAATTACCATCACTAGTTTCTGGGCAGAGTCAGCCATGGAGGCAGCATCGTTAGTTGCCGGGCAGAGTCAGCCATCGAGGCAGCATCACTTTTTTCCACAATGACTATAAACAAGTCTAAATACCGAACACAACTATCTGATGCACACATTGTTGCAATCCTGAAGGTTTCAGCTGCTCAGTCACTGAGGCCAAACATCAACGAAGTGACAGAACAGAAGCGTTGCCAGGAGTCTGGCAAACACTAACAACTCTCTGGCAGGCGAAGAATTGTATAAAGTTATATGACAGTTTTATTATTTCTAATAAATTTGAAATAAAAAATACAATATAAACGTTATTTTCTGAACATCATCTTCACTGACATTATTGGCCCACTGGGAGGATTTGAGGACTGGCACTGGCCCTAAGGTAAATTGAGTTTGAGACCCATTCTTTAAATAGAGCTGTAATGAAACCCAGATATCTAATATGGCCGACGTAAGGCTCATCCATTGAGCCACCCTACCTTTGAAATAAATGTGTAAATCTCTCTGCTATACTGAAAGAGTAATCAAAACCTACCTTATTTTGGTTTATATTTTCTTGTGTTTGTGTTAATGTGTACTCACAGACAGCACCAATCAGAAATCCTGTTTCATTGTGCACATCTGCTAATCCCATGCAGTTTTTTGGGGGGAGGAAGCTATAATAGTCTGACTAGGAGACTAGTGAGTCAAGATTCACTTGTTGGTTTTCCCTGTCAAATTCTGTGGAATGCAAAAAGTAAACAATCAGTACGAATGGAAAAAAATAATATATTTAAAATTCTTCCACAGTGTTATTAGTAAGGCATAAGGAAATTTGCTTATGATTTTTGATGTAACAATGATAACCAATGGGTTTTTTATTATTCGTTTCAGAACATCTTCCTAAACTGCAAGCCAGGTCCTATTCAGCTTCCAGGTACTGATATATTTAGATTATATCTTGTTTGTAATTTAGGCATGGTTTTTCCTTACAAAAGGATACCTTGTTAAGGCATTACAGAGAGCAAACTCTGGGTTATATTGCAATTTAGTTTTGTTTAAGAGAACTTTGATCCTGCGGTCTGTGTGGAAATCAGCTTTACCTGTTTGAGTTTGTACATACACATGCAATCCCCAGTGGCTAAAATCCCCAGCACATAGGTAACTACTTCTACAGAAGTCCCTCACAGTGGAACTATTTTATTTTATTTTATTTTATTTTTAGAAATCTTGAGGCAAGACTAAACACATGAAAATGTCCTTGATTTATTTGGAATACTTCCAGCACAAGTGTGCACTATGGCTTTAGTTACACACAGCAGGCAAGTAAATAATCTCAGGACTAGATTGGGCCATGAGGCATTTGCCTAGTGGATTGATGTCTTCCATGAGCAGCAGGGCTGTCTCGCTGCTCAGCTGCCAGTCCTGGAACTGCTTTACTCTGAGATCAGGCAGACTGAGTGGAGTGACTAACTGCTCCCATTTACTAGTGCTGCTGAACTAACTCAGCCAGGTAGCTCCCAGCCTTTGCCTTTGGGAAGAGATACAGAAGATCACTGCAGCCTGGCTCTCCATCCCCAAATCCTGTGAGGCAGAAAGAGGAGAAGGAAGAGACCCCCAATAGCCCTTTAACAGGGACAAGTATTGAAGGCATGGCAGTCTCTAGGAAGGACCTGCCTAGCAGCCTTCCCCAGCAGGCCAAGTTGAGTTCTCTGAGAGAGACATCAGGAAGCTGATTTATGGGTGAGAAGATTGCAAGGGGAAGAGTTATTGAGTGGGAATGGAGGAGGGGGAGACTGACGATGAGAAGGAGGAAGTAATTGGAGGAAAGTGATGAAATTGGTTAAAAAAAGAATGGAGAGCTGGAAATAGATTAAAAAAGGATGAGTGGGAAGATAGGAAAGGAATGGAGAGAGAGGAAAAGAAAGGGAATAATATTAAACATTAAATAAAATCTAGAATGAGGGGAAATAGAAAAAGATGGAGACAATAGATGGAGGAGAAGAAATAGGGTGGAAGAAAGGAAAAATAAAACCTGGGTAGAAAAGAATCTAAGTTCATTTTTTAGTTTAATAAGAAGTGTTATAAAAATGTTCTAATTAAAAACATACACAAAGGTTGTGTTGCATATAAATAAAGCAATATTCTTTGAGTGGATGGTAACATTTTACCAGTGCTCTCACAAAATAAAACTCTCATGCATATGAATCTGATAAATTCAGAAGAGTTCTGTTTGAATTCTGTGAGTCATTCATATGGTATTGTCCAGGCACCTGCCAATCCAGCCCTGTACAACCCCACCCCATGAAGTCAAGGGATAGACTCTGACTTCAATGAGATTTGGATTAGGCTCAAAATGAAGCTACTGTACTGATTCCTTCTCAGATAGTATTTTGATTGTTCAATCATTTGTGTCATTGCAGCTCCAATTTATTTCAACCAGGAAAACTGCAGTTTGTTTTTAATGTTGTGGAGTTTCCATCCTCCCCATCTCGACTGGTTTCACGAAAAGGAGTGTGTACAGGTTGGCTCGCTGAGTTAGTCGCACCAATGCTTCAGCCACATAAAAAGGAAGAAAAATTGTCAGCTGTAAAGGTACCAAAACAAGATCTAAATTCTTGTGGTTTTAGGGTGATACAATTAGAATGTGTATTCCTGGAAAAAAAAAATTTCCTTATTTCTTTGATCTGAGGCTCAGATATTCTGATACTGGCAATATGTTTCTCCATTTGTACAGTTACACCCCTAGTTACAAGTTTCTCCTTCCCTTTGTGATCCCTTTATATCTGCAGTGTGGTATATCTCCAATGGGATTTTTTTCTGTTTAAAATCTCTGTTAATTTTATCCATGAATAGCATATCCTGGCAAAGTATATATAACCATCATGTTGGAGTGAATTCATGGAGGGATTTAAAATTAATAATGATGGGCCAGAATCCAAAACCCGGGTTTAAATGCTCCTCCATCTCGGGAGGAGTTTGGAAGCAGATCTTCATTTGCAGCTTGTTCCTCATATCTAATCCTCACCTTGAAATGCACATGTAACTTGCAGTAATCTTCGTGGGAGTTACATGTGCATATTAAAAAGGAAATTAACCCACTATGACGGCTCATTTACTGAAATTCTCTATTGGTTTAAATAGGTTCAGTTCCATTGACTTTTGTCAGCAGAGAATTTAGTGCATGAGTAATGTTAGCCCAGGCTTCTTTTGACCAGCTTCCTATCTACTTTTGACACTGAAAAGTGGAGTCTGGTATCAGAATCTGGACCTTGGTCCATGAGCTTTTTTTTCTGTGACAACCTCCTCCACAGCTGCCTCGGTCTTTTATAACTTTGTAAAAGGGTCAGCTGGCTTACGGTTAGCCAATCAGAGGGCAGTTTCAACATTTCTGGTAAAACTATTTCTCTCCCTTTCTGAGTCTTTCTGCACAGGTAGATGTGTACATTTGATCAGCCAATGGGTAAAGGTTGTAACACTGCAGTATTGACAGTATCCTTGCTATTCCCTCCCCCTTTTCAATAATTGCATATGGTTCGATCCCACCACACAAAGTATGACTATGAGTGTATACATATAGCAGTAATGTAAGAAAGTGAAAAACTAATTATAGAGTTCAGGTAACCTATTCTGTTTTTCTAAAAAATATTTCACTCTTGCCATTTTCTCCTTGAAATGACTTCCTTTAGAGAAAGATTCATATCTTTGAACAGCCACTGAAAAGGTAGATTTATGACACTACTCATAGAAAGGAATGTCTTTTTTCTCTTTTGCCTGATTTTCTGTCCAGCTCTCTCTTGGGTTATGGCACTTTATTCTGCCCCTATGCATTAGGGAGAGAGTACTCAGCTCCCTGCTCTGTGTGTGTGCTTCAGCCAGAGCCAAGATTTTTGATCAGAGGCAGAGAAGCAGAGCTGCAATGTGTGTGCTGGGAGGGGAAAGTGTGAGCAGTGCTCCCACACTGTTGAAAAATGCTGTAGAAGGGATGTCTGTGTAGTGTTGAAATAGTGGAAAGGTGGGTTTGTGTGTCAGCCAGCAGAATGGCTGATTCGGTAAGGTTCCATCTCCTTAAAAGACTAGACTCCCAATCTGGCCCCAGTGCACTTCTAATAAGGTCATATAGAGTGCCCTGTGAAAATTTTGTTTTGTTTAAAAAATTCATCATAATGTAAAGGGCAAAATATTGAATTTCATGGAGTATGCATGGAATTAATTTTACAACTAAAATTAGCAGTAAGCAAACACATATACAGTCAACTAAATATTCAATTATTTCTATTTCTTTTTTTAATTAAAGTTAAGTATCAGTTTGTTGAGTGGTTCCTTTTTGATGGATTGCCTCTGCTCAGTAGGAATCGCCCATATGCTGAAACACTCTAGTTGGCATCCACAGAGCTAGGGACTGCAAATAAATATTGCTTGGCAAATTTTGAAAGACATGGAAAGACAAGGTTCTGTAGACCTCCAAAAGGTAGTCATTGCTGCATTCCTTTGCATAAAACCAGTAGCCTTTTATTTCAGTTTTGCAGCTCGTGTTGAAATGATTTAAGAAATCGAGTGGGATGGCATCCATTTTTAAAGTATATACTTGCAAGGTATCAAAGACCCTTACTGCTTTAAGGAACTGGCATGCTGGGTGGGTGAAATGAGGTTTTCTTTCCATGCACTTCGGGAGGTTGTAGTTTGTAATCTTATCTGCAACTTCAGTAAAAGTTTTAATATATTGGCTTTGAATCCCTGCATCACCACTGTCTTGCTCACTTTTAAGTGCTCAGTAAGTTGTTAATTAAGTCAACAACTTTATTGTATACTTGATTCATGCACATCTCACAGCTTTCAAACCATTTGATCAAATCAGCAAGCTTTTTGCCATACCTTAATGTAAGGGGACTGTTGTCCCCTTACTAAAACTCAGTGGTTTGTTTGTTAGGTTTTGTTGTTGTTGGGTTTTTTTTGTTTTTTTTTGATTGGCTAGCTCCCAGTACCAAAAGTAAGGGGAAGGGCCAATGGGAAATCAGGACTGTGAGACTGACTGTCCCCAAGAACAATGGGGAGAGGCCAATGCTCCAGGTCAGCCTGATTGAGAGGGCAGGCAGGCTAATCAGGGAATCAGGGGGCCAGGGGGATTCTGTCCACCGTATGAGCTGGAATTGCCTGGGTCAGACAGAGTTGGGCTGAGCTAAGGAGAAAGCCGGGGCCCAAGCTCAGCTGGGGAGCAGAGCTGGGCCAGATCCAGAGGGACCAGAAAAGCAGCCTACAGAGCAGACCTGTGCTAGGAGGAGAGCTGCAGCAACCAGAGCCAGAGGGGCCAGAGAAGCAGCTCAGTGAGCTGGAGGCAGAGCAGCAGTAACAGAGCTGAGGTAGAGTGGAGCTGGAGTTGAGGCAGTCCAGTGCCGTGTGCAGCCGCGGACAACAAGGGGGACCCTGGGCAGCGGGCCCAGCTAAGACGCCTGGCTGGCCAGACTTGGATGGGGATTATAACCCCAGTGGAGCGGAGGCAATTCTGGGAAGAAGGGTCCTGCCACCTAGAGCTTAAGAGTGTGTGGCCACCACCAGAGCAAGTGTCTGAACCACAGCATCCCTGCAGCACAGCAAAGGCCTGAGAAGGAGGCCTGGGGCTTGTGAGGAACAGACTGAACTTCCCTTACATTCCAGAGATGCTGGTTGTGATGTCCCCGTGCCACAGAGCGGGGTTATGTGTTTTCCTTTAACCTTTCCCATTTTTTCCTTATTTTTTTAAATTGATTGCTGTTTAATCAGTTGTATTTGCTTTGAACTGTATGTAATGATCAGTGGGTCAGGGAAGCATCCAGTGCAGAGAGCAAATCCCGGAGTGGGGACACCCTAGCCCCTTCCCTAAGTGACCAAAACAATGTTGGGGATCGAGCCCCCAAGGAATCCTGGGCCCAGCTTTGTTTGGGTTATGAGGACTCTGCCACGCGTGAGAGTGGAAGGGGAGCCCTTGAGGTCAGGCAGGCCTATGGGTAAAGGAAGTGGGAGCGAGGACTCAGATCCTTTTGCTAGCCCACTTCACCGAGGTAGTGTATAAGCTGGGAACGTTCCCCACAATAGCAGGACCAATTCCCCCGCTTATGTGTAGATGAAATTGAGTTGTAGCTGTAAAATTTCGGAACCGTACAACAGATGTTTCAGCTCCTTAACACTTTGTGTTTGTAACTTTCATCTCCTCTTCCACCAAACTCAAGTAAAAAGTAATGTACTGTGTATGGTAATCAGTAGCAGCATACAAGCTTCCTATCTTGTCTTAACTGCCTTAGGGGGCAGTTTCACAGGAAGATTCGAACCCACAGCCTAGACTGCCCTTTGCAGATTTTCTTTGAAATGCAATTTTCTGCTCGGATGATATTTACAAACTTTTTTGACTCTTTCTGTTAGCTTGTCAACCTTTGGGAAATTGGTCCTTCAGATCTCATTATCAAGGGCTACTATGTGAGCACTACAGGTATGTTGAACTGAGTTAAGCAGTAATGCCAAAGCATTTGATTGTAAGCTTTTGACATAGGGTGTGTTGTCAGAGATAGATGAACTAATATAATCAAAATCCACTCCAAAGGTATTCAGCACTTTACAGTAGCGTGTGCAATGGTGTTGTAAATAACCACATATAGGTAAATGGTATCAGCAAGGACAACTTTCCGTTACAAGTTAGATTGTCTTCACCATTTAGGACTTGCAAAACAAAATATGTAACAGATACTCATCTTGGGCATCAGTTAGTTTGTCAGTGACCACGGACAGCCACCCAGACTTCTTTACAAATTCCATAATCTCCTTCTTCTGACACTTGTCAACTTTAGGTAAATATTCATATCTCAGCTGGGTTGATGAAGGAATCACTCCACCATTTACTACATTCTTTCTGAAAAATTCCCATAGCCTTTGGTTGTCCAGTTTTATGAAGGGAGATATTTGTGCAAACAAATGTGTCTGTCTTGTCAATATTTAGTGAATTGCGTGCCTTACAGTTTTCAGTGGAATTTTGAAACAAGGAAGTCACTGGCTTTTATTTCTTCACAAGTAAAAGAGTTGCTATACTGCTCTCAGTTTCCACCTTTTGATAAGCACCTAAAGCCAGTTGACTGTTTTGAACTTTTTTGGTAGTGATGTACAGTAACATTTCAGGAGGTACTGAAGAGCTTATCTCCATCACTGAGTAAAACTCATGGTGGATACTGCTTTATGTGATCTGCTGCAGACACTTTTTTTTTTTTTTTTTGAGGCATCCATTTTCTTATTTGTAGTGTACAGTGTTTCCCAGCTAGATTATATTCAGTCACATTGATGGTGTGATTACTTTGCAGCACACTATTCTGTGCATGCGGGAAAATAGTACACATGGAGATGTAACATCTCAACTGTGCAGTTTGCTACAGTGATCTTTGTATGAAATAATTTGTACACATTTTCATTTTGTTTAAGAATATTGAAAAAAAAAATGTGGTGTTGAGCTAACTTCACGATTTCTTTGCAGTCCATGAAATCATGGTTTACATAGGGCCTTAGTCGCGTAATATGTTGTAACTCGTGTTAGAGTGCTGTTGGGGGCTGTAAGTGTTGCCAAGAGGGTGCTCTTTTTCTCTCTCAGTGGTGAACCTCATGATTTTCCCATCTCTTGTGAGGTTTTGTAGCAGGCCATGTTACTGAAAGTTACTATATTGGAAAAGTTTCTGGAACAACCATAGAAGATTGAGAGATTTCTGGTGTTATACCTAAGGTCAGGGAACTGTTGGAAGATGACACCTTTTTACAACACCTTATGTGTATATTATTTATTGCCTCATGAGAAGGGATTTACAGGGTATTTTTTGTCAGAGAATTGCTTGCCATCAGGTATATTCATCATGCTCTCAGGCTCATTAGAAATAAGTGAAATATCAAAAATCTGGCAGGATACTGTATAAGCAGCATGCCAAAAAGGAAGAACAACTGACACCAAAAAGTTTAGATCACCATCTATTTGATTAAAAGAGGGAGTCCAGTTGCAAGATATCCATAGTCAGAGGTAATTTGTCAAATTTACTAGAGGAAGATCTGTCTTAAAAATTATTTAATTTTTTAAAAATTATTTTCAAGGGAAATTGACTCAGTGTGCATATGATGTAGTTTATCCCAGCTTTCACAAACATCTTTGATTTAATATATATTATCACATTTTAAATTACTACTGGGACATGGGAAAGGGGCCTAAACATATGGTGGGTGTGGGGGAGAAGAATGAAAGGTTAATTACTACAGTGGGCTGAACAAAATTCTAAGCTGTTTTTATCTGCTGTGTAAGCTAAAATTCAACATAGATAAATGTGCAGCTGTACACATTGATTGCAAAATATGTAGAATACCAATACAAAATGAATGAGGCTGGTGTTGAGCAGAAATATACTAGATTAATTACAAACTCTTTTAAAAATAGATATACATGTACCATTTGCAGAAGCAATATTAAAAAAAATCAGAACCACACACAGTATTGGAATACATAATGGCAAAAGTAACCCACTAACTCAAATATGGTGGAATGCACTATGGTTTTATAAATACAAACTTCAGCTTCCCCTGCAGGAATTGCACTAATTTCTTATTGTTAAATAGCAAAAAGAAACATAGGGCTGTAATATTTTTAGAGAAATGATAAAAGGGAGCTTCACACAGAGGATTAAACAACAAGAACTGAGTTGTTGTTTTTTTTTTAAAAAACTTGTTTTACGTGGTAGAGCAGAATTTCTTAAATTTTATTCTAACATTTCTCCCCTTAAACTTTATAAATAAATAAAATTGGGGTCTCCCTTAACGAAGGACCTAATCTTGCTCCAGTGAATTAATTCACAAAAATAAGTTTGTCGTTTGCCATTGACTTCAGTGGAGTAGGTTGAGTCCCCATTATTGTTATTTATATGTATTGTGGTAAGGGCTAAAGGCCTCAATTTGGGATTAGGGCTGCACTCTACTAGTCATCATACACGCACAGCAAAAAGATGACCACTGCCCAGAAGAATTCACAATTTGAAGTATAAGATAGGAGGCAACAAATGGATGCAACAACAGGATTGAGGGAGCACAACATAGCAGTAAGATCATAGAATCAGAGAGCTGGGAGGGATCTTGAGAGGTCATCTAATCCAGTCCCCTGCACTCAAGGCAGGACTAAGTATTATCTAGACCATCCCTGACAGGTGTTTGTCCAACTTGCTCTTAAAAATCCCCAATGATGGAGATTCCACAACCTCGCTAGGCAATTTATTCCAATGCTTAACCACTCTGACAATTAGGAAGTTTTTCCTAATGTCCAACCTAAATAGCCCTTGCTGCAATTTAAACCCCTTGCTTCTTGTCCTATCCTCAGAGTTTAAGAAGAGCAATTTTTCTCCCTCCTCCTTGTAACAACCTTTTATGTACTTAAAAACTGTTATGTCCCCTCTGTCTTCTATTCTCCAGATTAAACAAACCCAATTTTGTAACTCTTTCCTCATAGGTCATGTTTTCTAGACCTTTAATCATTTTTGTTGCTCTTCACTGGACTTTCTCCAATTTGTCCACATCTTTCCTGAAAAGTGGCGCCCAGAACTGGACACAATACTCCAGTTGAGGCCTAATCAGTGCAGAGTAGTGTGGAAGAATTACTTGTTGTCTTGCTTACTATACTCCTGCTAATACATCCCAGAATGATGTTTGCTTTTTTTGCAACAGCGTTACACTGTTGACTCATGTTTAGCTTGTGATCCACTATGATCCCCAGATCCCTTTCCGCAATACTCCTTCTTAGGCAGTCATTTCCCATTTCATACGTGCACAACTGATTGTTCCTTCCTAAGTGGAGTACTTTGCATTTGTCCCTATTGAATTTCATCCTATTTACTTCAGATCATTTCTCCAATTTGTCCAGATCATTTTGAATTTTAATCCTATCCTCCAAAGCATTTGCAACCCCTCCAGGCTTGGTATCGTCCGCAAACTTTATAAGTGTACTCTCTATGCCATTGTCTAAATCACTGATGAAGATATTGAACAGAACCGGACCCAGAACCAATCCCTGCAGGACTCCACTTGTTATGCCCTTCCAGCATGACTTTAAACTACTGATAACTACTCTCTGGGAATGATTTTCCAACCAACTGTGCACCCACCTTATAGTAGCTCCATCTAGGTTATATTTCCCTAGTTTGTTTTTGAGAAGTACATGTGAGACAGTATCGAAAGCCTTACTAAAGTCAAGATATACCACATATACCGCTTCCTCCCTATCTACAAGGCTTGTTATCCTGTCAAAGAAAGCTATCAGGTTGGTTTGACACTATTTGTTCTTGACAAATCCATGCTGACTGTTATTTATCACCTTATTATCTTCTAGGCCATGGCACCTTCTGGGGCATTTTTGTGGGCCCATAGGACACCCCGCCGCCGAAATGCCTCCACTGAGCACGGCCGCCAGAGAATCGCCCGCTAAAATGCTGCCGAGAAGCGTTGGATTTCTCGGTTGCATTTCAGCGGCGACACTTCTTGCCGCTGCTGCTTCTCAGCAGCATTTCGGCAACAGGATGTCCGACGCCCGCCACAGGCTTCTGGGAATAGCAATATGCTATTCCCACAGAAAGGTTGGGGACTACTGTTCTAGGTGTTTGAAAATTGATTGCTTAATTATTTGCTCCATTATCTTTCCGGGTACAGAAATTAAGCTGATTGGTCTGTAATTTCCCAGGTTGTCCTTATTTCCCTTTTTATAGATGGACAACTATATTTGCCCTTTTCCAGTCTTCTGGAATGTCTCCCATCTTCCATGACTTTTCAAAGATAATTGCTAATGGCTCAGATATCTCCTCAGTCAGCTCCTTGAGTATTTTAGAATGCGTTTCATCAGGCCCTGGTGATTTGAAGACATCTAACTTGTCCAAGTAATTTTTGACGTGTTTTTTCCCTATTTTAGACTCTGATCCTACCTCATTTTCACTGGTATTCGCTATGTTAGATGTCCAGTCACCACGAACCTTCTTAGTGAAAATCGAAACAAAGATGATTTGCAGTATAACAAACAGCAGTCGCAGTTCACCAACTGCCTAGCACATTGTCACGTGTTTTGTGGACATCACAGTTAAGTGAAGTTGAAGGAGTGATTTGAAGAAGGATAATGTAGTGGCTTTGTGATGATTTTTATGTACATGTGATGGGATATTCAAACCCCATACTGGGCAACAAGGGTTAAGGAGATGTTCTGAGCTCAGCCAGTCCCATCCTGCCATACCTGCAAAAGATGCACACACTAGAGATGGTGTTAAAAGGGAGAAGAACAGCTCATTTGTGGGCAAACCAGGGAAGGGAGCAGACCTGCAACTTGTAGCTCCTGAGGAAAGGGCTGAGAGAAGGCAGGATCTCTCCCAGCAACAACTGCTGGAAGGTTCCTCCCTGAGGGAAGGGAGAATCTGCTTCAGATACACCTTGAGAGGGAAGAATTTCCTTCTCTCTCTCATATGAATTGTTTGTTTGTGTTAATTCCCCTTGGGTTGTTTGTGGACTACCAGGACAGGGGAGAGATTGGAAATTGACCTGGCCAGAGGGTCAAGTCACAGGAGGAGGCAGCTGCTGCCCTGAGAGAGAGAGAGAGCGCTGTCACACCAAGCATGGCCACAAGGAGGCATTTAGTGGTAACCTGACCCCCTTGCCAACTTTACACCGGACCCCCTCCATTTACACCTCCTTGCCACAGACTGGGAACTTTGGACATTAGCGGAGTGGTAGGAAGTGGTCCAGGGAAGGCAGCCTAGGCCTGGGTATTAGGCCTTTGATAGCCCTCACAGGGCCCTAGGCCGGAACCCAGTGGAGTGGGAGGTCCCTGGCTCCCCTACCAACCTGCCCTCCACCCCGCATGTTGAAGGGTCTAAGCCCTGACCAGGCAGTGTTCCCCACAAAAGCAAACCATCACAGTGTAGCTTCTACTATGCAAAAGGGGTGGCATTTAAGAAATCACAGAGGTGCCTGAGGAAAAACTGCACTGATGGACAATGACTGTTGACATCACTGGCAGAGCAGAGGTGGGGGTTGACATGATTGGCCTGAAAAGAAAAAGACAAGAAGCTTGTGTTTGATACAGCTAAACAGGTGGAACTAACAGAGGGATGCAGGGGCGGGTAATGTGGTTAGAAGGATAATCCAAGAAGATACTTGTGGCATTTTCAGTGGATTTAAGGGGGCAAGCATTTGTCAAAATCAGAGAGAAAGGTGTTGCAATATGTAACATGTTGGAGGGCCTGGATAAGTTTTATCTGTGTGGGCAGAGGGAAGTCTGGATCTTGGAGGTGTTTTGAAAGAAGAAGCAGCAAGATTTAGACATGGCCTGGATGTGTAGGTCTACAGAGAAGGCTGAGTCAAAGATAATGCCCAGACTATTGTCCTGGGTTGCAAGCAGGATGGTGGTGCTGTCCACAGTGACATAGAAAAGAGCCTCTTCTAAGGCAGATGTCTTATTTTATCTTTTATTTTTTTGCTGAACTAGTTCAATTGGGCGAGCATTGGAGTGAAGATCTAAAGGTCCCATTTCAAATCTGGCTTCTTGTGGTAGATTCTCTATCACTGACAATTTTTCAATCAACATTGGATGTTTTTCTAAAAGCTGTGCTCTAGGAATTTTTTCAGGGAAGCTCTATGGGCTGTGGTATACAGGAGATCAGATTAGATAACCACAGCAATTCTTTCTGGCTTTAGACCTGTGAATCTCTTCTTCCAACCGTCCCTTTGAAAATGTTCTCTTAAATTGGGGGTAGGGAAATTTTATAATGTGTTAAACCTCTGGACAGGGGAAACCTGTTAACCTTGTTTCTAGCTGGGTAATTATTATTTTCAATTAAGATGGCACAAACAGACCAATATAGAGAATATTTAATGTTCAACAGATGGTTCAATTTTTGTTGAGAGAAAAATGTCTATCTCTCACTCACTCTCACAGGGAGTCAGTCTTGCAGTTCCAGAGAAACTCACATTTGACTCTTTTCCATAATAATAAGAGATGATGGGAGCAGGGGTCACAAGTGGAAGGAAAGAAACAGTTTAAGATTAGCATCAAGAAAGCCTTGTTTCCTCAGAGTACTACAGATCAAAATTTCAAGAACCTCTAAAAATGCCTCTCCTAAATTTGAGATTGTATCAGTTTTCATATTCAGAAACCCATGTTTCTGTGTGCATTTACCCACTTTTGGACATGCAGATAGACTGTTCTCAATGGTAGGAGATGACAGAACGAGGAGTAATGGTCTCAAGTTACAGTGGGGGAGGTTTAGATTGGATATTAGGAAAAACTTTTTCACTAAGAGGGTAGTGAAACACTGGAATGCGTTACCTAGGGAGGTGGTAGAATCTCCTTCCTTAGAGGTTTTTAAGGTCAGGCTTGACAAAGCCCTGGCTGGGATGATTTAACTGGGAATTGGTCCTGCTTTGAGCAGGGGGTTGGACTAGATGACCTTCTGGGGTCCCTTCCAACCCTTATATTCTATGATTCTATGATTCTATGACTGCAAATCTGGCATCTATATTTTCAGAAACCTATTTGAAATTTGGCCTCAAATATTTACATGACTTCAGTAAGCTGGGAAGTTTAAGCAGACTACAATCATTCAAATATAATTCATTAATTTGTTCTGTGTACGCGTGTGCATGTGTGTGGGAACGAACACACACACACACACATATGTTCCCACACATGTAATAGTATTTAATTTCATTCTAGGTCTCTATTTTTGCTCGTCCAATCAACACTTTCCACTTACCTTCAGATCCATCTGTCCCTTTTATGATGGTGGGTCCAGGAACGGGAGTTTCACCTTTTATTGGTTTCCTGCAACATAGGTATGTTCTGCATTATTACCTGAAAAGCTACCAGTTTGTTATGTAAAGGAAAATGTTTCATAATATCTGGTGTCAGGTTGACATGTAATGGGTAACTTTCTTCAGTTGTTTCCAGTTGGACATATTCTTATGCCACTTACTACATCAGAAGTGGGCAAACTACGACCCGCGGGACCGTCCTGCCCAGCCCCCGAGCTCCTGGCCCAAGAGGCTCGCCCCCGGCCTCTCCCCCGTAGCCACGCTGCCGCGCAGAGCTATATTCTGGGCAGCAGGGCTGCAGATCCCAGCCTGACCCGGTTCTCTGCTGCGTGGCATGGCGCGGCTGCCTGTCCTGGTGCAGCCACGCTGCCAGCCTCCAGCGCTCCAGGCAGCGGGTATGGGAGCAAGGGGGAGTTAGATAGAGGGCAGGGGAGTTCAGGGGGTGATCAGGGGCGTGGATAGGGGTTGGGGCGGTCAGAGGGCGAGGAATAGGAGTTGAATGGGGGCAGGGGTCCCGGAGGGGGGCAGTCAGGAAGGAGAGGAGGGATTTGATGGGGTGGCGGAGGGCGGTCAGGGGACAGGGAGCAGGGGGTGTGGATGGGGCAGGGGTCCCGGGGGGGCACTCAGGAAGGAGGGGGGGGTTGAATGGGGCGGTGGGAGGCAGTTAGGGGTGAGGGGTCCGGGGGCAGTCAGGGAGAAGGGGGGGTTGGATGGGGCAGGGGTCCCAGGGGGGCAGTCAGGAAGGAGGGAGGGGATTGGATGGGGTGGCGGGGGGCAGTTAGGGGTGGGGGGGTCCAGGGGTGGTCAGGGGACCGAGAGCGGGGGGGGGGTGGATGCGGCAGGGGTCCCCGGGGGACCGTCAGGGAACAGTGGGGGTTGGATGGGGCAGGAGTCTCGGGGGGGCCGTCAGGGGGCGAAAAGCGGGGGGTTCGGACAGGGGGCGGGAGTCGGGCCATGCCTTGCTGTTTGGGGAGACACAGCCTCCCTAACCAGCTCTCCATACAATTTCAGAAATCGGATGCAACCCTCAGGCCAAAAAGTTTGCCCGCCTCTGTACTACATCATCACTAGGGCTTTTGTTGGAAACAATTTTATTTTAATTTTCATAGTGTCTAAATTCATGGAACACATTCTGTTTTCACATAAATGTTCTGGATATAGGGGGAGGTGGATGGTTCAAGGGACTGACAAGAAGAAACAAAATCTTTCATTTCTGAGTCTCTAATAGGAGTACAGATGAGGTCAATAGTTATTGAAAGTTGTTACTGTGCTGTTGTTTGATCTAAGAGAAATGAATTAGTAGTCTCAGTTCATTTCCTTCAGAACAAGAGTCCACATCACAAAACTTAAAATGGCAAATGGAATTTTTGACAGCCTTTCTGGCAGTCATATTTAAGAGGCCATGTATCGAATGGGCATGGAAATTGGAATCCCTGCTGACTGTAGGGGTATGTTTAAATGGCAAAACAAATACCTGAGGCAGCAAGTCTCAGAGCTTAGGCCCACAGACTTGGGCTTGTGTTGAAGCACTAAAAATAGCTGTGTAAGCATTCGGGTGCAGGCTGTGAAGTCCAAGAGAGTGGTTTTAGAACTCAAGCTCCAGCCCAAACCCAAATATCTAAACAGCTATTTTTAGCACCGTAGCATGAAGCCCAGTCTGTAAACCTGGCCTTTGAGACTCATTGCTGTGGGTGTTTTTTAGCTGTGTAGACAAACCCCAAGAGGTCCCACCAGGTGATGGCTGAAGCACGTGAGCAAAAATGTTTGGGATATATGCCAATGCTCCTGCAGTTCCTGTTCTGCGGATGAATAAAGGGCATTGTACCCCGAAAAAAGATGTAGGGTATCCCCAGAATAGCTCACATATTGCCCTCTCCTGTGTTTATTAAGGGTTTCCTAAAAACAACCCACTTATTAACCAATCTGTTTTCCTAAAGTATGGGTCTCCAGGATAGCTAAGGAAATACCTGGTGGACATGGATACAGCCTTCCAATAAATGATTGACAGAAACAATATTTTTTTCCAAAACAAGGCATTTTTGGATTAGTATAAGCAATAATCTCTAAAGGTATGTCTACACTACGAAATTAGGTCGAATTTATAGAAGTCGTTTTTTTAGAAATCGTTTTTATATTGTCGATTGTGTGTCCTCACACAAAATTCTCTAAGTGCATTAAGTGCATTAACTCGGTGGACTGCTTCCACAGTACCGAGGCTAGCGTCGACTTCTTGAGTGTTGCACTGTGAGTAGTCCCACAGTTCCCGTAGTCTCCGCCGCCCATTGGAATTCTGGGTTGAGATCCCAATGCCTGATGGGGCAAAAAACATTGTCTCGGGTGGTTCTGGGTACATGTCGTCAGGCCCTCCCTCCCTCCCTTCGTGAAAGCAAAGGCAGACAATTGTTTCGCGCCTTTTTTCCTGAGTTACCTGTGCAGACGCCATACTGCGGCAAGCATGGAGCCCACTCAGCTCACTGTCACCATATGTCTTCTGGGTGCTGGCAGACGCGGTACTGCATTGCTACACAGCAGCAGCAATCCATTGCCTTGTGGCAGCAGACGGTGCAATAGGCCTGAAAACCATCGTCATTGTGTCCGAGGTGCTCCTGGCTGCCTTGGTAAGGTTTGTCAGGAGCGCCTGGCCAGACATGAGTGCAGGGACTAAATTAGGAGTGACTCGACCAGGTCATTCTCTTTAGTCCTGCAGGCAGTCCTATTGTACCATCTTACGGTGAGCAGGCAGGAGATGAGGATGGCTAGCAGTCCTACTGCACCGGCTGCTGCCTGCCAAAGATGTAAAAGATAGATGGAGTGTATCAAAACAAGAAATAGACCAGATTTGTTTTGTATTCATTTGCTCCCCCGTCCCTCCCTCCCTCCCTCCCTCCGTGAAATCAACGGCTGACAATCGTTCTGGTGAGGTCTGTCAGGGGCACCTTGAAAACTTTAATGGAGATTCAGTCCTGCCTGAAATACCAGAGGGAGGGATAGCTTAGTGGGTTGAGCATTGGCCTGCTAAACCCAGGGGTTTGAGTTCAATCCTTGAGGGGGCCATTCTGTGTGACAGTTGTTTTTGTTTCTCCTTGATGTAAGGCCACCCCCTTTGTTGATTTTAATTCCCTGTAAGCCAACCCTGTAAGCCATGTCGTCAGTCGCCCCTCCCTCCATCAGAGCAACAGCAGACAATCGTTCCACGCCTTTTTTCTGTGCAGACGCCATACCACAGCAAGCATGGAGCCCGCTCAGATTACTTTGGCAATTAGGAGCACATTAAACACCACCCGCATTATCCAGCAGTATATGCAGCGCCAGAACCTGGCAAAGAGAAACCGGATGAGTAGGCGACGTCAGTGGGGTGACGAGAGTGATGAGGACATGGACACAGACTTCTCTCAAAGCACGGGCCCTGGCAATGTGGGCATCATGGTGCTAATGGGGCAGGTTCATGCAGTGGAACGCTGATTCTGGGCCTGAGAAACAAGCACAGACTGGTGGGACCACATAGTATTGCAGGTCTGGGATGATTCCCAGTGGCTGCAAAACTTTTGCATGCGTAAGGGCACTTTCATGGAACTTTGACTTGCTTTCCCCTGCCTTGAAGTGCATGAATACCAAGATGAGAGCAGTCCTCACAGTTGAGAAGCGAGTGGCAGTAGCCCTGTGGAAGCTTGCAACGCCAGACAGCTACCAGTCAGTCGGGAATCAATTTGGAGTGGGCAAATCGACTGTGGGGGCTGCTGTGATGCAAGTAGTCAACGCAATCAAAGATCTGCTGATATCAAGGTAGTGACCCTGGGAAATGTGCAGGTCATAGTGGATGGCTTTGCTGCAATGGGATTCCCTAACTGTGGTGGGGCCATAGACGGAACCCATATCCCTATATTGGCACCGGAGCACCAAGACGGCGAGTACATAAACCACACAGGGTACTTTTCAATAGTGCTGCAAGCACTGGTGGATCACAAGGGACGTTTCACCAACATCAACGTGGGATGGCCAGGAAAGGTACATGACGCTCACATCTTCAGGAACTCTGGTCTGTTTCAAAAGCTGCAGGAAGGGACTTTCTTCCCAGACCAGAAAATAACCGTTGGGGATGTTGAAATGCCTATAGTTACCCTTGGGGACCCAGCCTACCCCTTAATGCCATGGTTCATGAAGCCATACAAGGCAGCTTGGACAGTAGTCAGGAGCTGTTCAACTACAGGCTGAGCAAGTGCAGAATGGTGGTAGAATGTGCATTTGGACGTTTAAAAGCACGCTGGCACAGTTTACTGACTTGCTTAGACCTCAGCGAAACCAATATTCCCACTGTTATTACTGCTTGCTGTGCACTCCACAATCTCTGTGAGAGTAAGGGGGAGATGTTTATGGCGGAGTGGGAGGTTGAGGCAAATCGCCTGGCCGCTGGTTACGCGCAGCCAGACACCAGGGCAGTTAGAAGAGCACGGGAGGGTGCGGTGCGCTTCAGAGAAGCTTTGAAGACCAGTTTCATGACTGGCCAGGCTCCGGTGTGAAAGTTCTGTTTGTTTCTCCTTGATGAAACCCCCAGCCCCTTGGTTCACTCTACTTCCCTATAAGCTAACTACCCTCCCCTCCTCCCTTCGATCACCACTTGCAGAGGCAATAAAGTCATTGTTGCTTCACATTCATGCATTCTTTATTCATTCATCACACAAATAGGGGGATAACTGCCAAGGTAGCCCGGGAGGGGTGGTGAAGGAGAGAAGCACCAGGAGGGGTGGTGGAGGAGGGAAGGACAAGGCCACACAGCACTTTAAAAGTTTAAAACTTATTGAATGCCAGCCTTCTGTTGCTTGGGCAATCCTCTGGGGTGGAGTGGCTGGGTGGCCGGAGGCCCGCCCCCACCGCGTTCTTGGGCGTCTGGGTGAGGAGGCTATGGAACTTGGGGAGGAGGGCGGTTGGTTACACAGGGGCTGTAGCAGCGGTCTGTGCTCCAGCTGCCTTTCCTGCAGCTCAGCCATATGCTGGAGCATATTAGTTTGATCCTCCAGCAGCCTCAGCACTGAATCCTGCCTCCTCTCATCACGCTGCCGCCACCTTTCAGCTTCAGCCCTCTCCTCAGCCCGCCACCTCTCCTCCCGGTCATTTTGTGCTTTCCTGCACTCTGACATTGTTTGCCTCCACGCATTCATCTGTGCTCTGTCAGTGTGGGAGGCAGGCATGAGCTCAGAGACCATTTCATCGCGAGTGCGTTTTTTCGCCTTCTAATCTTCACTAGCCTCTGGGAAGGAGAAGATCCTGTGATCCTTGAAACACATGCAGCTGGTGGAGGAAAAAAAAAGGGACAGTAGTATTTAAAAAGACACATTTTATAGAACATTGGGTACACTCTTTCAGGGTAAACCTTGCTGTTAACATTACATACATAGCACACGTGCTTTCATTACAAGGTCACATTTTGCCTCCCCCTCACTGTGTGGCTAACCCCTCTTCCCTCCCCGTCGCTAACAGCGGGGAACATTTCTGTTCAGCCACAGGCAAACAGCCCAGCAGGAGGGGGCACCTCTGAATGTCCCCTTAAGAAAAGCACCCTATCTCAACCAGGTGACCATGAATGATATCACTCTCCTGAGGATAACACAGAGAGATAAAGAACGGATGTTGTTTGAACGCCAGCAAACATACATTGCAGTGCTTTGTTCTGCAATGATTCCCGAGTATGTGCTACTGGCCTGGAGTGGTAAAGTGTCCTACCATGGTGGATGGAATAAGGCTGCCCTCCCCAGAAACCTTTTGCAAAGGCTTTGGGAGTACATCCAGGAGAGCCACGAATGCCAGAGCAAATTAATCATTAAACATGCTTGCTTTTAAACCATGAATACTATTTTAAAAGGTACACTCACCAGAGGTCCCTTCTCTGCCTGGCGGGTCCGGGAGGCAGCCTTGGGTGGGTTCGGGGGGTACTGGCTCCGGCTCCAGGGTGAGAAAGAGTTCCTGGCTGTCGGGAAAACTGGTTTCTCCGCTTGCTTGCTGTGAGCTATCTACAACCTCTTCCTCCTCCTCATCATCATCTTCCTCATCCCCAAAGCCTGCTTCCGTGTTGCCTCCATCTCCATTGAAGGAGTCAAACAACACAGCTGGGGTAGTGGTTGCTGAACCCCCTAAAATGGAATGCAGCTCATCATAGAAGCGGCATGTTTGGGGCTCTGACCTGGAGCGGCTGTTTGCCTCTCTGGTTTTCTGGTAGGCTTGCCTCTCAGGTCCCTGTTGTGGCCTCTGTCCTTCATGCCCTGGGAGATTTTGACAAATGTTTTGGCATTTCGAAAACTGGAACGTAGTTCTGATAGCACGGATTCCTCTCCCCATACAGCAATCAGATCCCGTACCTTCCGTTCGGTTCATGCTGGAGCTCTTTTGCGATTCTGGGACTCCATCATAGTCACCTCTGCTGATGAGCTCTGCGTGGTCACCGCTGCTGATGAGCTCTGCGCTCACCTGCAGCTTGCCACGCTGGCCAAACAGGAAATTGAAATTCAAAAGTTTGCGGGCCTTTTCCTGTCTACCTGGCCAGTGCATCTGAGTTGAGTGCTGCCCAGAGCGGTCACAATGGAGCATTCTGGGATAGCTCCCGGAGGCCAATACTGTCTGATTGCATCCACAGTACCCCAAATTCAACCCGGCAAGGCTGATTTCAGCGCTAATCCCCTTGTCGGGGGTGGAGTAAGGAAAATGATTTTAAGAGCCCTTTAAGTCGGAAAAAAGGGCTTCATCGTGTGGACAGGGTGCAGGGTTAAATCGATTTAATGCCGCTAAATTCGACCTCAACTCCTAGTGTAGACTGGGGTAATACAGTAGTAATCTAAAAACACAACAAGTTAAAGAGCACCCCAGCCGCAATAACATACAGTTGAAATGGTTCTTAGTGGTTGCACCCTGTCACAGATGGCCAATCTGTCACAGGCTGCTGACAGCAATTTCTATACTCTTTAAATCTTATACATTTCTTTCACTATCAACACTCATACATATATCTTTATTAACCCACACATGCACACTAACATTATACTATGTTTTTCTATACTGTACTATAATTATAACTGGCAAGCTTACTCTGCTAACTTCTGCTGCTGCTGCCACTGCTGCTTCTTCAGGTCTGCTGCTGTTCTCTGCTTTGCTCTCTTCAGTTCCTACTCCTTCGGCTGCTCCACTCCTAACTGCCTGGCTGCCCGCTGACACACTGCCTTTTATAGTGTCCTGTCAGAACTTTCTAGATGCATGACATCATCAGATCTTTCCTGCACATGCTCAGTACCAAACATTACCTCACATTCTTGAACACATGCCAACGTTCCACCCATGCTTACTGCCATTGTTTACCCCAGAGTTATGATTACCTCATCTGACCTTTCCCTTACTTTTGACCTTTCCACCTACATTTGTATTGCACATGCTCAGAAATATCATGTGACCTGCAGCTTCCAATAGTGACTCTTGCTTATTCAAAATGGAGGTCAGGAATGCAAGATGGACTGGAGAATTTCTCCAGTATCAGATTCACTCTCCAAAGCAGTCAGTCCAGCACCTTTTATTAAATGTACTATTGAAAAAAAAATGTGTTTAGCAAAGTACAGAACAATTACAATCCTGACAGTTGAAAAGTGCATCAAATGCACAAACTACAGAAGTTCATACTATTAAAGAGATGATGTACATGATATCTAATTTATCTGACTAGTAAAATAACCTGATGTATAATCTGTTTGTTTGTTTTATTATTCTGATATTAGTTTATAATCATACTCATACACTCTACCATATTAATAGAAACAAAAGAGGCATTTTATCCACCTTAATATGCAGTAAAAATTATACTTAGCTGATATTCGGTTATACCAGAAACAGCAAAAATAAATATCAGTAATAAATCATTTTCATCACATTGTGACATTAACAAAAGATAGGATTTAATATCTGGAAAAAAAGTTGTGTGGTGGTGGTAGTCAAGAAGTAGTAATTTCACTAGCCTCCATGTTTATGAGGAAAATAGCAGCTTCTGTGTACTGATGGATTTTATAGACCATATTTTTGGAGTTTTTTTTATTATAAGGAGACAAAGATCGCATACTTTTTTAAAAACACTAAAAGTGCAATAGTTCCATAAGTTCAGATGGGAATTTGTTTTATTACGCTGGCTATCTTCTCTCCTTCCTTCCTCCTCCCATCAAAAAATAAGGAACTCAGTATAAACTTGTGTATTGGTATAATATACAGTTTTTTGGCAAAGCAAACCTTCCTTACTGTAAAATATACAGTAGTTAGTGATTAAATGACTTTAGAACAGGGGACACCAACATATCTTTTTGGTTATCTACCAGTGGTACACTTATACCTGTACCCATAACACACAGTCAAGTACAGAGGAGACCTTTCCCCTTCTGTTCTTCTTACAACTTCCATTTATAAGGGGAGCAAAGGTAGATTTTTATCGCGTGTTGCTGAGTGGCTGAAGTTAGTTGGTTCTGTGAATGCCCTGGAGGTGCGTGGAAATGTACTGATTGTCTTTTTTAAAATGGTGTAATTAAATTTTGGCTTCAGGTTTTTTTTAAGCTTTTCACTTAGTGAAATCAAATAGCATGTTCTCTGAAGCTCAAAAGGTAAAATGAAATTTTAAATATTATATACGCTATGCACAGATGCCCTGGTCCTTCAAACAGTAGTGTTTGCAGGAGGAGGACCATAATTAACAAAAGAAATCCCACACCAAAATGGCTTTTACTTTCTGTTTGTGCTTTGTCTTTTTAGCATTCCTTTTGTTACCAATAATTCCAGATTTGCTCATTCTAGTTTGTTGGCATTTCAACTACTCAGGCTCCTTTACTTGAGCACCACAATACTTTATCTCAAACCAATCCATTTTCTAATTAATATGTATTCTATAATCAATTAATCACCAATATATTTTTCTCCTTCTGTAAGAAAAGGAGCCAAGAAATATTTCCTGGAGTCCATTTTAGAAGTGCTTTCAATAACATATTTGTAACTCATTTCTTTCCCTTCTTCACATGTCATATCAACTTTGTTTTTTGTTTTGTTTGTTAGTTTGTTTTAATTTAAACACCATTCAAAGACTTTATCTAAGCTAAAACAGAAGCAAGACAGCATCTGTTTCTGCGGTGGTTTATTGTTCACCTGGTTATATTGTGTGGGAATAGTTACGATATGAGCCATTATAAAGAATAAATAATCCTATCTACAGTTAACACTCCACTACTTAGATATGTATGATTACACAGAGGAGACTGCTGAACAAAGTTTGTTATTACCTTCAGAAATAGAGGACACAGGTAAATATTTAACGGTAAACATTTCCATGGGAGATCAGTGTTATTTTACATGTGGTATTTATGTGCATTGCCATCAACTCAAAGCTTGATTATTTTTGGAGCAGGTTTGTTTCATATACTATAAATACTGCAATAAAATATTCTTGGACATGTTGTTTTTGGACAATAGCCAAACCCTTTTCTTTTGCACTGATGTGGGCTAATTCCCATTCATTTCTGAAGAGTTTCAAACGTGCATAAAGACAATTCTTCCAATATTGTAGGAAAGTAGTAGATTTGTAGACCTTTTGTGTGTGGTGGTGGAAAAGACTAGAGTTTTGGACTCAAACATCTGCAGATCAGTTTTCCAGCCTGCTTCTGACTTAACTTTATAGGTTTAAGGCATGAATGCAGAGCTTTTGATTTTAATTTACACTGTGAGATTTGGAAGAGTAAGTGATGTGTTAGTAATGGGGAAAAAAAGCATAGGTAAGTATTTGTATGTGAAGCATGAAATTGAATTGTTGCAATGTCAAATGATTTTCTGTTGGGTAATAAATTCTTAGCAAAATATTAATTGGGACAGGCAGAAACTGCATTTGCTGATGTAGAGGTGTTTAAGAGGATTTGTTGTCTAAGTTTACTCTCGTTTTTACTACTAAAGAAAATCATAATGTGTACTGTTTAACAAGCCAATATATTTGCTGCTGTGACTAATTTTCTACATATTATAATGATGCCAATAGCCTGTTGTTGTTAAGGGGCTGTTTGGGACAGCCAGGAATTTTTCAGTTTAATCAAATTTTTATGTAGTTACTAGCCAAGGCATTTTAAGTTTTTAATGCTAGTCCATAGCCCCAGAGGGTATAATGACCTGCTGAAAAGTTTTGTGAATGTAAAGCTGGTTTAAACGTTGCAATGTCCATATATTCAATCTAAAGATTTAAATAAGTTTACAGCTGTGGTTGCATGAGTCAGGGCTAGTGGTCATTGTCAGTAGCTCTTAAACATGTCATCTCAATTATCCTTCAATCCACTCTTGAACCAGGGAGGAGAAGCAAGATAGGTTCCATTAAATTTCTCTTCAGTTTTCTTTAGATGCTGCAGCAGAAGCTTATCTAGAATGATCTCTGATCAGGAGAAAAATCATTTGAAAGAGCATTCCTAGCAGCAAAAAAATCACAGCAAAATGGAAAAAAAATGCTATCAGAACCTAAGATGCGCGCACACACACAATATGCTCAAACAGTTCCACCTTAATTTCCATTTATTGATTGATTCATTTGGAAAGATCTTATTAAATTTATTCCCCATGGTGGTGGTAGTAATACTTTTGCTGTTATAAAGCACTTTTCACTAGTAGATTTCAAAGCATATTGCAAAGGTGGATGAGCATTGGGGCCCTTACTCAGCAACACACTTGCATGGGCTTAAGTGCTTTATTGAATTGGAGTGTTAGTGAGTAGCAAATTTATCAGATTTAGTCTTTTAACAAAAATGTCAACAAAATTTCCAAAATGAAACTGATTATTACAATGTGTCTGACACACACACATTTCAGAGGACACAAAGTACACAGTGATTGAGGGAAAGTGAAAGGGCATCATACTGCTTTATGTGCTCCCATTCTGTCTGAGCTGAATTTAAATACTATTTCCTTTCAAACATAGCACGTGCCTTCTTTGTAGGAATAACATTTGATACATAGTGATAAATTCTCTATAAGAGGAAGGATGTGTGCAGTGGTTAGAACAAAAGACTGAGAGCCAGAACTCCTGGCCTCTATTCCTAGTTCTGTTATGTATTGTGTGACCTTGGACAAGTCTCTTAACCAATCTGTACTTCACGTTACCTGTAGCTCCCACAAATAGTGAGATTTAATTATTGTTTGTAAAATACCAGGAGATCCTTAGATTAAAAATGTTCTGTAAGAGCAAAGTGTTATATGTGGCTTGTATAGACAGCAGGTGTACTCTTTCAAGGTGCATGAGCATATAAAAGGCAGAATTTGGCCTTCTGTATTTTGTCTGAGTTCCCTGAACTTTCTGGAGGACTCAGACTCTGGTGCTCAACTGGTATAAATTGGCAGAGCTTCATTAAATCAATGGAACAACGCTAATATATGTCATTTGAGGATGTAGTCCTGGATGCATAACTGTGAAAGCTGCTACATCCACACATGACTTCACACATCATCTGTATTTCCAAGGAATCTCACACTCACCTTTTAAGCTGTATTTGAATTGGTAGATTTTCTTTGGCAAGTGCCCTTATGCTCTCCTGTGACTCTTTATAAAATGTGGCACGCTGACAGGTTTCCTTCCAAATACTGTGAGGAGCTGACCATAACAGAATTGTACCACAATACTGTAATTATTTAAATTTTTCTGTATTGTTAATGTTGCCTTCAAAGTTGGCAGAAAGGCATTTTAAATGTCTGTTAGGACGCTGACAGTTTTATCATACATCTTTTTCACATGATAAATAATATAAGTTTAAGTGTTAATTTTCATATTTAGCACCCAATCCTAACCATGGCTTGTATCATCTTTTGGGGCACGTAGGTCATCTGAAGTGACTGTGCATTGGGAGAGGTTAGGTTGGTGTGTAAGAGACTGAGGCAGGAAAAAGGAAATGGATGCACTCCACAGCATGAAGCTGCAAAGAAGATATAAATGAAGTGTAGTACCCTTCTTGCACAGCTCTATCAATAGGTGAGGAAGAAACCAAAACAACCAACAATGCTGCAATGTACTTTGTAGAGTGAGATGGTGCTCTCTCTGCTTCTTCCCCTCCCCTCCTCATTCCCACTTCAGGGCAGGGATAAAGGGTCCCTCTCACCCCCAGTGTCTTCTAGCTAGCTCCGTTTCTGAACGGAAAGCCAAGATGATGTCTTCAGGCTCCACATCCCCTTTAAATCAATCCTTCATGTGGGACGCAGTCTAACCCTTTCCTCCCATCTGTTTCCCCACACTGGGATGTTCAGATGGCATTAAGCAAGCTGTAAGCCTCCCCAGCATCATTTTTCAAAGCTTGAATGCATTTTATTGCAATTGGACTGGACAGATTCTGGGAATGGGAAAGAGGTAGGCAGCGGCCTAAGTTATGTATGACTGCCCTTTGGAGGCGGGGCTAGGGGAATTCTCTCTCAGGACACAGAGTAGCCTCTGTTGCTGAGGAGACCTGAGGGGCATGGAGTTTTCGTGATTGTGAGCAGAATCAGGCCCTTAGTGAGTATGGAAGGTTCTCTGGGTGTTGACTGTGTATGTTTTGATTGCCCTGAACATTTTGGAACCTATGGTAAAACATAGTGAAGAACACATTCCTATTAATAATAATAAATAATAAAAGTTCTTATATATTGCTTTTAGTCTTCAAAGTGCTGTACACACACTAAATGATCCTCACAATACTTCCAGTAAGTAGGTAGGTAGAACGATCTGCATTTTTTTAAAGATGAGGGAAAACTCAGAAGGAAAAAGAGGGAAAGTGACTGACCCAAGGCACAGAGGCAATTATTGTCAGATCTGAGACTATACTTGAGAGTTTGGTGCTAAGATCATGGGACTAATGTGTGTACTCCATGCTTTTTTCAAGTTCCAGTCGGTGTTTCCAACCAAACTGCTTAAAGTATATACTAAAAACAGACAAAAATTAGTGCTTTGAATTTGTGCTTAATCATCTGCTAAGATCCTAACTTTAAAATATACCACAGTTCTGTAAATCTGCAGTGTTTTGAGGAATGCATAAACACCCAGTGTCCAAACAAGAACATCTTGAAACCACGTAAAAAAATCTTAGATCTTGCTCAAAAATATTATTTGAATTTCACAAATTTCCATCCAACATTGTTTGCACCTGATTGATCAGTTCTGTTTTTAATCTTATTTTTGACAGTCCACAAATTTTGCTTAATAAATTCTTCAAGGGCTTGCTGATGTGCATTCCACATTAGGCATGTGTGAGCTGCATTGCAGCATTACTGGAAAATTTTCCCTCAGTGATATCTATCAGGCAGTCTCTAGCGCCCTTTGGTGCCATGCACCAGATTAAGGGGTGATGCTAGGGGCCACACACCCTCTGTTCCTTCTTAGTGCCCATGACGGTTGCTGGAACAACTCCTCTTGCTTCAGCAAGGCTTCTTCTCGGTGGTTTTGTACTCTGTTTTATAGTTTGTTTGTTAGTTTTAAGTATAGTTAGTAAATATATAGTATAAGTAGTATTAGTGCAAATAGTTAGAACACCCTCTCTGCTATTGTTGAGGGGCTCTCTTGCCCATGGTGGATAAAAATCAATGTTTTTGGTTTTATTTAATCTGTTTTTTTTTTAATTCAGATTTTTTTGATAAAATGCTTTTTGAGGAAAAAACCTATCTAAAGATAGATTTAATTAAGATACATTATAGCTCAAAGATATCTCATCATGGAATAGGGATTATAAATTCTAATTCTATAGTATGAGACAATATATTCATGTAATATTTAAGAAAAGTTTTGTAAATGAGTTCCAATAGTTCATGGATTAGGGATCCAATCTTATGGGGTTCCAAGGGCTTCTGTATAGATTATTTAGGTTAATCTTTCTATCTACCCAATGGGACTCAGTCTAAAAGATACCATCAGGGATGCTTAGTTTTGCAGTTCTGAAACTGTGGATTTGTGTCTCTAGAGATAACATGCTCGTTAACAGCAAAAATGTTTTTAAATGAATAAATAAATAATATAGAGGTGAGAATTAACAGACCTCAACCCTATTGTCCCTCTGCAAATGTGTGTGCACAGAGTCAATCCCTTACCTCTCTCTAAAAGTGAAAAGTTTCAGAAAGTTCAATGAATAGAAGATTGTTGGGGGCGGAATAGATCTGGACACGGAGAAGAAGTCTGGAGATAAATGTGAAAAGGGAGGGACAGGCAGTAGAAACAAAAGTGAAACTGTTTGAGCAACATATTCCAGAAGTCTTGAGGCCTTTCTGAGTGTAGCCTTAATTCATTTGAGATCTATCATACCATTCTCTCACTAGAATGGAAAACCTATAATGGCAGCAGGCTGTAAAAGAGACCCAGTTTGGGAATATTTTAATGAAGTTCCTCTACCTCTGGGTAAGACAGGCATGCGTGCAAAATGCAAACAGTGCAACAAAGAAATGCAAGGCCTGGTTGTCCAAATGAAACAACATCATGAGAAGTGTTCCTTCTCAGGAGGAAACTTCGTTGAAGATGATGAAAGGAACACGTCTGAACATGCAGGATCTTCAGGTTGGTAAACTTTTTTTATTTCATACCTCTTTCTTAAGGACTGCCTCTCTTCCTTCTGGACTATTATTGATTTCTCATGTTTGAGCAAAAAATATAGTTGTTACTCTATGTTACTATCATTTTAGATGTAGTTGTGATAAAAAAAAAATAGCTGAAATAGGCAAATCTTCCTTTTACAATTTCACCTTTAAAGTAGTACTGAGTGTCAGTGAATGCAATGAGTAATACTAAATGAGCAGTATGGTAATAATAATTAAATAACTGCATTGACTTATTTTGTTTAGGAGAATCCATCCTCAACATACAGGATTCTGAAGACTATCCACCTTCAAGATCACCATCATTTTCTATAGTTTGAGTTATATCGCCATCATCCAGAAACAACCATAGATAAGTTTGTGATTAAAAAAAAAAATACAAAAAGTAGTAATTGATGGAAAAAATTGCCTGGTTTGTTTATGCAACAAACTCTCCTTTCTGTATGATTGAGAACCCACACTTTATTAACATGGTTCAGTCATTAAGACCAGGATACAGTCCACCCAACAGAGCAGATGTCATAGGCTGGATAAAGTGTATGAAAGAGAAATTGAGCAGTGTGCAAAAGGTCTAGAGGGTAAAATTGTTAACCTGAGTCTTGATGGGTGGAGCAATGTCTGCAATGATCCTGTTGTATGTGCTTGTGTGACAACAGAAGACGGGAATGTCTTCCTTACAGAAACAATTGATACATCAGGAAATGCACACATAGCAGAATACTTACAAGAAGTAGCAGTAAAAGCTATAACAAACTGTGGGGAAAATTTCAAATATCTAGTATGCAGCTTGGTCACAGACAATGCTGCAAATGTATCCAAGAACAAAATGCAGGGAAATAGCTGTTTTATCGCTGACGCTGTTGAAATTTGGAAGGAACTGAGTGAGATCTTAAAGAGAAATATGCAATGACAGAGTTAAATTACAAGCATAAAAAAAAGAATGGGACAAGCGCTATCTCCAGCTCATTTTCTAGGAAATATTCTCAATACTCTGTACCAGGGTCAAACCTTAACTGCTGAAGAAGAGGAGCTGGCTATGACATGGACATCCAGCAGTCATCCCTCCATAATGCCACCTATAATAAACTTCAGAGCTAAGGGTGAACCATTCAAGAAATATATGTTTGCTGATGATTTAAAAAAAGTCACACCAGTGAACTGGTGGAATTCACTTAAGCACTTGGATTCAGAGACTGTTGAAGTGATAATATCACTTTTAACAGCAGTAGCTTCTTCTGGTGGTGTAGAAAGAATATTTTCTTCCTTTGGACTAATTCATTCCAAATTGAGAAATCATTTGGGACCTGAAAAAGCAGGAAAGCATGTTTTTCTTTTCCAGATTATGAACAAACAAGAAAATGAAGGTGAAGATGACTGAGTTAGCTGCAGAAGCCAATATTTTAAGTTTCTCATGTTGACCTGGCTGACATAGTCGATTTAATTTTTGTTTTGTTTTTTTAAATATTTCATTTAACTATTTTAGTTAAAAGCAATTTAAACAAAAGCAAACCTGATTTTAAAAAACTTAAATGTTTAAATTCAAAAATTCATATGCTTGTTTTGTTAAAATATTATCTGTTTGCTGTTTAAAGAAAAAAAATCCAGAATAGATACCGTTGTTGTTTTAGTTTAAATAAAACAATTTAAATGTCTCTGTCTGGTGATGTTCTCCTCCTAATACAGCGTGGCAAGAAAATCCTCCAAATATTAATGATTAACCTGTTGAATTGGAGATAGTTCACCTCCCAATGACTTCATAAATATCTGCTTCAGTTACCTGTGGTAAATGAAATAACCAAACAATCATTCATTTTCTGATATAGCTGTAAAACTAATCTGAAAAGTTTTCAGAATAAATAATTTAAAAAATATATAATGTGTACCTTCCAAAAATGAAACCTACATCTATCTCTGAGTTGTGAAGAATATGTATTAAGGTTATAACAGCCACCAAGAATGCACTCTTATGTAGATATCCATGATTAAATCAAGTCTTCCTGACGATTTGATTTAAATCAAATCCACCCTGCTTCCACCCTGCTTTTGCCCCTGGGGCTGGGCACACCCCAGTCTCTGGGCTTCAAACCTTGTGCCTCCTGTGGCAAACCTATGCCTGTGAGCGACCCACGCTCCAGTTGTCTGGAATGTTTGGGGAAAATTCCCATGAGAGACCAGTGCCAGATTTGTCAGGACTTTAGACCCCTTACAAAAATGGAAAAGAGAGGTAAGACTGAAGGCTATCCTAATGTAAGCCATCAAGCCATTCCAATTCTGCACTGAGCACGTCAGCCTCGGTACGAACCATTCCTCTGGCACTGCACGCTGCTCCGTACCATTCCCCATCTCCGGTGCTGAGGAAGAAGCACAAAAAGCAATGCACCGACAAAGGGCGTTCACCAGTGGAGAAGAAGGACAAACATGGCAAAGGCAATGGAGTGCAACCTGCTCCAGGCCACTTCTCCATCCATGGTCCCATAGCACCACCGTCAACTCTGCCCAGAGTTTCAAGTCCAGTGCGGGACCCTCTCCTGACAGCCAGAAGCCACCATGGCACCAATAGATGGACAGTACTGTCAACCTCTGAGGCCTTTGCAGCACAGGGACTTATTGGCACTCCCGGTTCCACCAACTCTGATGGGACAGCTGCCATCTCCACTGACTGTGAGCAGGAGGGAGCATGGGGCACAAGCCATGCCTGATACCCTCTTCGTGACCATCTCCATTGTGCCACTGGTCTCCAGATCCTTGGCACCGAATGGAGAGGGGGGGGGTACCACTCCATCGTGGTTGCCTTGTGGGGACTCTGAATCTGAGGTGGAACGCTATGTCCAGCAAAAGGGCCAATACCGGTACCCATTCTGTGCATCTCCGGACATCGGTCAGTACTGGTCAGCCCCCCAGTGCCTGGCCAAGTGAACAGTGGTCTGTGCAGTGGCCTTTCTGGAACCCTTGGAGGTTTCCCCAGTATTGGGTCACCCCTCCCATTGATCTTACTTGGTGGCTTCCAAGCGGCTGGCTACTGCTCCTTCCTGCTCAGTACTGGACCCAACTCCTGTACCGACCCCAGTACCGATGTTCAGGATGTGGCTTCCTTCGACGTTCTTGGGGCTGAGGAAAAGGAAATAGCCCCTCCTCCGGTACAAGCCGCTCTTGCCACCTCCTCCCCAGACAAGTCAATCTCTGAGCCGAGTAGCTCACTTCCGCAGGACGACTTCAGGGTCTATTAGGACCTTCTGAAGCTGATAGCAGCTAATCTGGGGGTAGAGATTGAGGAGCTTAAGGAATCATCCCACAGCCTTATCGACATGGCTGAAGCAACTCCTAACTTGCCCATTAATGAGGCCAGTCAAGGCCCTGTGGCAAACTCCTCCTTCTCTGCCCCACACCTCAAAGAGTGCTAAAAAGAAATTTTATGTGCCAGCCAACAGGTACGAGTACCCATACTCCCACCCTCCTCTAGGGTCCCTCGTGTCAGTGGCCAACAAGAGGGCCAGACAAGTGCTACCCCCAAACAAAACAATGCAAGAAAGCTGGACCTGTTTGGAAGGAAAGTTTATTCAACAGGTAGTTTATAGCTGCATATCTCAAACCAGCAATCCCTACTGAGGAGATATGACTATAATCTGTGGGACTCCTTGTCCAAGTTCAGAGACTCTCTGCCTCATGACTCAAGGCAGGAATTCTCTGCTGTCTTAAAGGAGAGTCAGAATGTTGCCAGGACCTCACTCCAGGTAGCACTGGTTGCAGCTGACCCAGCAGGTAGGACAGTGGCCTCCACTGTCACCATAAGGCTATACTCTTGGCTTCAATCCTCAGATCTCCCTCACGAGGTCCAGCAATCAATCCAGGATCTCCCTTTTGAAGGCTCCTCATTATTTTTGAGATAGACGGACATGAGACTATATGGCCTGAAGAACTCAAGGGCCCCTGCCCTTGAGTCCCTGGGCCTCTATGCTTCATCTACTTCAAGGAAGCATTTCAGGCCCCAACAGCCACCACACTTCTCGGCTTCACCTCTGAGACAGAACCCTTTTAAATAAAGGGAGAGATTACCAGCAACGTCAGCTGCTTCCTTCCACCTCAACTTCCCAGCCGGGTTGCATGGGTACTCCAGTGGGCCCACGCAGGCCTTTTGAAGATGCGCCCAAGGGTGCCATACCAGTTCTCGTCTCAGATCCTGCCTCCCCCTGATTTTTGGACTGACTATCCTGCTTCTGCCTGGTGTGGTCCTGCATAACATCGGACTGCTGGGTGCTAAATACAGGGATGGTTGGCTATGCCCTCCAGTTTTCATCCACCCCTCCTTCCTACACCCCAATGCTGTCCCTCTTCAGGGACCCTTCTCATGAGCAGGTCCTCATCTAGGAGGTGCAGACCATTCTACAGATGGGGGCCATGGAGGAGGTTCCTCAAGACATGAGGGAAGGGGTTTTATTCACAATATTTCCTAATCCCAAAATCCAAGGGAGGGCCTTCAACTCATTCTGGACCTATGTCATCTCAACAAATATCTCAAGAAACTGAGGTTTCACATGGCCTCCATTATTCCCTTCCTGTTTCCAGGGGATTGGTACACCACTCTCGAGTTTAAGAACACTTACTTTCACATTTTTATCTTTCATGGCCACAGGAGAGTTCTCGTGTTTATTGTAAACCAAACGTACTACCAATTCACAACCCTTCCCTTCAGCTGATCTGCAGCCCCCTGGGTCTTCATGAAGTGCATGGTAGTGGTAGCTGCCTTCCTCAGACTGTGAGGAATTCAGGTCTGCCCGTACCTCGACAACTGGCTGATCAAGGGTCATTCAAAGGCTCAAGTAAAGAACAACATCAGCATGGTCCAAGCCACCTTCTGAGCGCTGGGCCTGTTGATAAACCAGCAAAGGTGGACTCTTATTCCAGTTTAGAGAACAGAATTTATCAGGGCAGTGCTCAACTTGATCCAAGCCAGAGCCTTCCTCTTGGAGGCCTGTTTCCAGACTGTTGGACCTGATATCCAAGGTCATGGTCCACCCATTTACAATAGTCGAGTTTGCCTTAAGCTACTGGGGCACATGGCCGCATGCACTTACGTGGTCCAGCATGCAGGTTTGGCCTCAGGCCCCTGCAGATGTGGCTAGCTTCAGTTTACTTCCCGAACAGACACCATTTGGACTTGGTGGTCACTGTTCCATCCCTGGTCCGTGCCTCACCCAAGTTCAGTAATGATGGGAGTCCCCTTTGTGGCCCCCACAGCTGTCAGGGTCCCTAGAGTCGGGTGCATCAGTCCTAGGTTGGGGAGCCCACCTGGACAGCCTGAGGACTCAGGGCCTGTGGTCCCAGGAAGAACTTTCCCTGCACATAAACGTCAGGGAACTCAGGGCGGTTTGCTTAAGCTGCCAAGTCTTCCTTGCTCAGATCTCAGGTAGGTGGTGCAAGCTTTGACGGACAACATTGTGGCCATGTTCTGTATCAACAAGCAGGGAGGAGCTCAATCCTCCACACTGTGTCAGGTGGCCATCCATCTATGAAACTTCTGCATGAAGCACTCCATCCACCTCAAGCCTTCACATCTTCTGGGAGCCTGGAATACACTTGTGAATGACCTCAGGAGATTCTCTTCCTCTCACCACAAGTGGTCCCTTCACCCGGAGGTCACCAGGTTCATCTTCCAAAGGTGGGGCTCTCCCCAGATAGATCTGTTCATGACCAAGCATAACAGGAAATGCCATTAGTTTTGCTCACTGTGGGGGCACAGCCCAGGCTCCCTCTGTGAAGTCTTCCTGCTTCCATGGACAGAACTCCTGTTCTACGCATTTCCCCCCGTCCCTCTGGTTCACAAGGTCCTCCTGAAAATCAAATGGGACAAGGCGAGTGTTATTCTTACAGCCCCGGTGTGGCCACACCAACAGTGGTTTGGCACATTACTAGATCCATCAATAGCAACCTCGCCTCCGCTCCGTCCAGACCTGATCTCACAAGACCACAGCCAGTTACTCCACCCAAACCTCGACTCCCTTTCCCTAACTGCATGGATGCTACATGGCTCAACCTGGAGGAGCAGGCCTGTTTCGAACAAATTCACCAGGTCTTGCTAGGTAGTAGGAAGCCATCCACTACGGCAGGGGTTCTCACAACAATTTTTTTGGTAGCCTCAGGGTGCAGCCACCAGCTTTTGTTGGTGGCCGCTCTGACAGTTTTTTTCCTAAAATAATTAACTTTAGGAAAAACACACAAAATATACATGTCCAAATATCGTAATTTATTTATGTAGAGTTTCTTTTTGCAGACTCAATAATAAAAATAATGTGCAGTTGTGTCTATTTTTTTTACTGGATCTAAACAAATAGAAATGGTGCTTTGCACATTCTTGTCTTTTTTGTTGTTTCTTTCGCGGTGTTCTTCAAGGACAAAGTCCAAGTACGCCTGCACCCAGCCTTCCTGCCAGAGGTGGTTTTGCAGTTCGATAGCAACCAGGTCATTTTCTTGTCAGTCTTCTTCTCAAAGCCTCCCAAGAACTC